GTTTGGTGTTTGGGTCAAGGACCTTTTTTCATTTCCCACAGGGACCTAGTAGCTTAAAGGGTTCTATAAGCTGGGATGCCCAGTAGTACCCTTATTCCCTTTCTGTAGTCCAAGGTCCCTTCTCAAGGTCATCAATACCAAAAAAGGAGCCCTTTTTTTCCTAGTTTATCGGGCATCTTAGTAAGGGATCTATAAGGTTTGGAGCTCTTGGGGTCGTAGGACTTAGTAAGTAGGGTTCCTTAAAAGGGATCCATAGGGTTCCGTAAGGGGATCTATGAAGGATCTATCAGGGATCTATAAGGGATTAATTAAGGGTTTAGGGTCTACTTAGAGGATCATGGGACTTAGTAAGAGGGACTATACGTACCTTATTTAGTGTTAACAATAGACAGAACTATGTTGCCTTACTTGCAACCCCACTTACTCAGTCCCCTGAAACTCTAAGTCTAAAGGGTCTCTTCAATCGAAACGTGTGTTTCCTCCTTGCCTTTGCTGAGAGGGGACGGTTTGGGGACATTCTGCCTCTGCCCGACACTTTGGCAACCTGCAAGACGCCGGAGAATAGGTTCGGCAAACAGTTCCTTTCAGGGTATAGTCGGGTTTAAGGTTAGGATTCAGGGCTTCGGGCTTAGGGTTATCTGTTCGGGTGAAAAAGGCTGTAGGATTCAGGGTTTTTCAGATGAGGCGCTTCGGATGGGTCACGGGTGACTTCCTAGTCATCGCTGTTGGGTCCAAAATACTAGCCGGCAAGTATTCTGGGTGGTCCAATACTCAACTGTTGAACTTTTGAGGCACTTGTCGGGTAGTCTTAGTCTGAAAGCTTAAGTTTTGTATCCCATGGGCATTTGGGAAGCAAGTAGGAGCTATAGCTACTATTGTTCCGAGTTGGGCCCTCTGGATTTGCCACTTGGACGTAAGCTTCAGTTCAGGTATAAGCTCCGCACGATGGAGTGTATGTCCTAAACTATCATGCGGTGTTGATAGGTTTCTGTTTTGGTTTCCAAAGGGTCACCTCTTGCTTCATTGGCGTTTGAGGGTTGTTGTAAGGGTTAAGAGATAACTTGCAGCAGGCTTCTGTAACGGCTGGAACTTTCACACCCTTTCCATGCAGGATGAGGACCTTACAGCAGCGACCAGGCGCATCTACTTGTCCCAGGACCTTCCGGCAGAGTTTCATGCCTTCCACGGGCTGTGGCACAAGGATCCACAGCACAATCATTAATCAGGAGGGTGGTTTTCTGAACCGATCAGCCATACCTGAGCCGTAGCTATGAATTACCACAAAGCCCTGCTGCTTTTTGGGGTTTTCCGAAAATATGGGACCCTAATACAGCACCCTAAACCCCTAAACTCTCAACCCTTAACCGGGCTCTTTAAAGGGATCTATAGGGTTTAGCGTTTAGGGTCTACTTGGAGGATTATGGGACTTAGTAAGTAGGTTATAAGTACCCCACTTAAGGTTATAAGTAGAGATACAACTATAGTTGCCTTACTTCTATAACCCTACTTACTAAGTCCCCTGATCCTTTAAGTGGGGTCGAGTCTAGGCGCCCCTAAACCCTAAACCGTTTAGGGTTTAGGGTTTAGAGTAGGCTCTACATTCTATGGGCGATTTCTGAGCTGCATTGTGACTTACTGTTACTAACCTTTATAGGGGCCTGTGATAATTAGAATAGGGTTCCCTTAAACCATTACTAAGGTTTATTGGGGCCCGCTATACAATAATCGTCATAAGAAACCCCCGCAATAGTATCGACAATCATTTCGACCCCTATAGCACATAGCCCATGACACCCAAACCTTCAGCCTGCACATTCTGAATTCCGAAGGTTAACACCTACTTTGGGCGATTTCGGGCCCCTCCACACAGATCTTTTGTTCACCACGACCATGTCGAGGATCCTTTGGAGTCCCAACCCAGAGAGCCCAATACCCCTTAATTAAGGAATATGGCGGAATATGGCTTAAATTATGTAGGGCTTCATATTAGGATTTAAGCTATATTCCCTAATTAAGGGGTATTGGGGTGTCTGGGAAGTAGGAACACCTGCGCTGCATTTACTCTCCAGTTTTGTCTTTTGAGGAGGCTCCCGCAAGATTGTAAACTGGACCGCCTTCTAAGATGATATCTGGCTTTCTTCACACAGCGAGGCCCACCCAAACCCTTCCGCCTTAAAACCCCCTTGGGGACCAAATGACCCTCATAAGTAGTGGCCCTATACCCTTATACTATGAATCCCTATAAGGTATATGAACCTTAAAACCTTTTGAGGTTCATTTCGTCCTTAAGGCCTAGAACCCTAAACCCCCTAAGCACTGTTCGCTCGACTGTGTGATTATGACGATGACTCGGGGGGAGGGGCCTTAGTTTTAGGGTTTAGGGTTTAGGGTTTCCACCCTGTTCCAGGACCCGCTTTTCGGCCGGAATGCCCAGCATCGCTATGGATTCAGTTTTGCTGTCGGCTGAAATCCCCTGAACTCCCAAACCCGAAACCCTACACCCTAACAAGGCGGAAACCTTATCCCCAAGGGTAAAAGGAGGGACCCTTAATAAGGACCCCTAGGTATATACCTACAATATACCCATTATATACCCATTATATAGCCCATTATGGGGTAGGGGCCCCCATTAAGGGTCCCTCCTTTTCCCCGTTGATTATCTAGGGACGCAAAGAACTATCTCGCCGTAGGACTGGACGTTCATAGGACCTTCCGAATTTTTTACAACTCTCCCAAACACAGCAAGCAGGCCTATCCCCTGAACCCTACATAGAGGATCATGGGACTTAGTAAGTAGGGGTATACGTACCTTTAAATAAGGTTATAAGTACATATAACTATAGTCACCTTACTTATAACCCTACTTACTAAGTCCCCATGACCCCCTAAGTACACCCTAACCTCTACCCAGAGGCTCCATAGTAGTTCCTGTTGGGATTTCTTTATAGGATCCGAAACATGAACCCCAAAGAGGAACTACTTTGGAGCCTATGGGAAAACTGTATAAATCTTAAACCTTCGGTCCTGGCTAATCTTCTCGAGGCTCGTTCTCTCACAAGCAACTCCAGTCCAACAACTAACACTGCGGCCTTAGTAGTCTGCATAGGGTTTAGGAGCTTAGGGATGATGGTATAGTACCCGGAACCCTTCGGAATAGTATGACCAGTGATTCAAGCTTCTATACCACGGCGCAGCTCGGGTGCGGGCACGCGCGTGAAGCAGGAGTCATGAACTATGATCTTGGTGGCTGCTACAGGTTTGCTCAGAGGATCATGGGACTTAGTAAGTAGGGTTCTGAGTACCTTCATTGGGTTTATATGTAGATAGTCCATTTGGGACTGATGACCCAAATGGACGCAAGTTCCTCCACCTCGCCAAGGAGATTGGGATGTGGATTCCCTCAACCTACCAACGACTACACGTCGGGTCGTCGGCTACCTTTCGACACCTACAGGGCTCTGCCCACAGGATTGATTACGCTCTCGTCGGCGGGACAGCTATGGTATGGGCTGCTAAAAGCAGCGTCGCGGAGAATTTCGACACGCTCAATTCTACCGACGACCACACTCCTGCCGTACTGGAACTGCATGGCGCACTCGAGAAACACACTGGTGGGGACCGGATTTGGAGGCCCACCTTTGACACAGAGCGCATGCTGACGCCAGAGGGCCGAGCAACCATTGCTGAGGCGCTCAGCGCCTTTGAGTCCCCCTCTTGGCAGTGCCATCCTGACATGCACTGCCAGGCCTTGCAAGACTATCTTCTCGGTGTCCTGCAAACACATTTCGGCCGAGACGAGGCTGGACCCAGGGCCTCCTTCCTGTCTGCTGATGTCTGGACGGTCCGAACGGCCAAACTGGCACTGAAGCGCCGTTCGCGGCACAGGGCTGGGCTTTGGGCGGACCTACTCAGTCGTGCCTTCCGGCAATGGAGCAGACAAGAGGATTACTCGGTGCTTGCCGTTGTCCGAAAACATGGCTTTATATATGAGCTGGTGGCGTCGGCTATCCAGTTCGCTACGGGACGCATCAAGCTTGCCATCCGGGCTGACAAGAATGCCTTCCTGGACCGCATTGCCCAAGGTGGCCATGCCAAAGCCACTGAAATTCTGGGTGTGGCCAAACGTGCAGGCATTGGAGGCCGCCAAGCCAGACCGATGCACCGGCCACTCCCTGCTTTGCTCACCCCAGACGGGACCCTCTCCAGCTCCAGGGCCGACCGCGATGAGACATGGCTCCAGCAGTTCAGTCAGCAAGAGTTCGGCAGCATTGTCCCCACTGCTGAATATCTCCGACGTCCTGGCGAACCGATTGCCATTGATGCCGCGATCAACTGGCGACTCGAGGACGTGCCATCCTACTTCGAGGTCGAGCAGGCTTTCCGGCGTGTACCCACTCGGAAATCAAGTGGGCTGGATTGCCTGCCGGGCGAATTACTGAGGGCCGACCCTGCGGGGATGACACGGATAGCCTACCCCCTCTTCTTGAAGGCCTCCCTCTCACTCTATACCAGCCCGTGCAGTGGCGAGGAGGACTCTTGCGAGAATCATGGAAGAGGAAGGGGACGGTTCAAGACCCCGAGAACTACCGGTCCTTATTTGTGTCTTCCATGCTGGGGAAGACGTTCCACAAAGTGCTGCGCAAACGAGCGACGCAACATGCGGCGGACATGCTGCTGGGCTTCCAGATGGGGGCTCGACGGCACGCACCGGTGACATCTCTACCGCTGTGTTGTTCCTGGATGTCCAGTCAGCGTACTATACCGTCATACGCGAAATGTCGGTTGGCCTGATTGAGAACGAAGAGACCGTCGCCAAAGTCTTCAAGTACTTTGGGCTTGCCCCCAATGATCTTGCAGAGTTCTGGGGCGATGTACATGGTGGCGGCATCATGGGGCAATCGAACATGCCTTGTGCCCTGCGCCACATGGCCAAAGACCTCTTACATAGGTCTTGGTTCGTCACGGGCTACGGGAATTCGGACCGCCTGTGCGTGACACAGGCTGGCTCGCGCCCAGGCGAGGCGTGGGCTGACCTCGTCTTCGCCTTTGTCCTGGGAAAGATCCTCTGTAGGATCAGAGAGGTTGCCGTTGGCGAGGGGCTCCTACAAGCGTTGTACGTCGACCCTGACAGTGGGCCATATGCCCAGCGGGGCGACGGTGCCGAAGTGCACGCACTCGAATGTGCTTGGGCTGACGATGCAGCTTTTCCCATCAGTGACGCGTCGCCTTCCTCGCTCCTCACGAAGGCGACCAGACTTTGCTCCGTTGTGCTTCATGAGTGTGCTCGGCACGGTCTACAGCCGAACTTGAAACCGGGCAAAACGGCCATCCTATTGGCCCTTCGTGGACGTGGCTCCAGAAAAGTCCGTCAACAATGGTTCCCCAATGGGCGAAACGTTCTTGTCCTACGTGATTTGGGTCTGGAGGTGCCCGTGGTCGGGGCCTACAACCACTTGGGTGGCACTGTTGACATGGCCATGTCGGGGAAAGGCGAGGCTCGCAGAAGGCTCGCCATCATGCAGTCCACCTTCGACGAGGGCAAACGGCTGCTGTACGGGAATGCCTCTATTCCTCTGTTGACCAGGTCTGCCCTGTTCCAGACTTCGGTTGTTGCCACCCTCTTCAACCTTGGCCTATGGGTCCCTGTAGGTGCGGCATGGCTGCACCTAGCAGGTGGTTTTACCCGGGTCCTGCGGGGACTCCTCACAAAGCAGTTCACGGGCGACCTCCTCTACAATGTCGCGGCGCCGGCAGTGCATATCCTGACCAACTGCTTCCCTCTTGAGATGTTTGCCCGAAGGTCCAGGCTGAGCCTCCTGGCATCTGCTTGCAAGGCAGCACCAGACGAGCTCTGGGCGATGCTACAGACGGAGCAGGCGTGGTTTGCTACAGTCCGCGATGACCTCCGATGGCTGTGTGAGGACGAGAACGACTGCCCCACTGCGGATGCAGCCGGATGGCCAGCCATGCACCGCCTCCTCACCCACCGTACTACATGGATCAAGACACGAGTGCGGAAACTCCTCAACCGTGATTTCAAGGCCTTCTGTGTGGAGCGGATGATCGATCTGCAACTGTGGGCCCTGTACCGCCGACTACTACAAGCCCACCCTCGATGGCGACCTGCTGGGACCTGGTGTTGCCGGCCATGTGGCCGGCGGGTCAAGACCAAGGCCGCCCTCGGAGCACACTTCCACAAAGTACATGGGCGGCTTGCGAAGCACAGACCCTTCGTCGATGGGACTGTCTGCCATGCCTGCGGCCGCCAATATTGGTCGGTCCCCAAGCTTGCTGACCATCTACGGGATCACCCAGGGTGCGTTGCCACACTTCGACTACATGGGCGTGCAAGGGATAAGGCCTTGCCTGGAAGAGGTAGCAAGGTGTGGCGAAAGCAGGCTGAGGAGACCTGCCTAGCGGTGTCCGGACCACATGGGGCCCCGCTACCAGCTGCGGCTGACGCTGGATGGGATGACACCACGCGGCGAGCCTACAAAGAGGTCTGCGAAGCCCTCCTGGTTGATGATCTGCCAGCTGACTCCGCTATGCTGGTCGACCTCATTGCAAAGAGCTTGGGACGGCATCCTCTCTTTGAGAGTGAGGAGCACGAGATCGTCGCCCATGTTGGTGCTGAGGTCCGACAGCTTCGGAAAGCCGATGCAGATGATCACTGGAGCGACGAGGTCTATGCAGCGCTCTGTCACTCGACGGAGCACTACGTTATCGACACTCAGCCTTCTGAGCTTGAGGCTAGGACGGAAATTCATACGGATTCTCTGCAAGCCTTCAGCCAGAGGCTGAGTGCTTTCGATTGGGCGGACGCCCTTAGTCAGGCCAAGCCTGCCTACGAGACCCAGGAAGGCGCCTTGTACACACTGCACAGTTGGGACGTTGCTTTAACCTGTGACAGGGAGGCGCTCACCTTAGCAACCGTGGGCGAGATGTATTGGCCGCTGTTACCAGAGGCACTCCGTGAAGCGTGGGATGCGGCAGTACAGGGCCGGAACGTCCGGCTGGCTGCACCAAACGCCTTTTGGGAGCATCGCCTCTCCCTCCCCTTTAAGGGTATGAGGGCCGACGATGCAAGTAATTAGGCTGCGTACCAACCTCTGAAAGCCCGCAAAGCAAAACAACTAGAGTTACTTTACATATAACCCTACTTACTAAGTCCCATGATCCTCTAAGTAGGTTTTCTTGCTCCAGCCATTGCCGCTACCACATTTGGTGCTCCATCGACACAGTGCCCGTTATGATAGTTTATAGTAAACCCCATAAAGGTGGCAACCGGATTAGCTATACCTCACTCTTAAGGATTGAGGTTATTGGGTTTCCAACTGTTGGGCTTCTACTGTAATGCATGTAGCAGCTGTAAGATCCATACCTAAGGGCCTAAGGGATCGTAAGACTTGCCAGGTCGCCTGTAAGCAGAGTTCTGTGAAGTTTGACCCTAGCAAGGTCACGTGTAACTTTGATTAGTGCGATGTTCTAGGTTCTTGTTAAGGGTCTAAATTTCAGTTACCATATTACAGAAAGCATATTATACTTGCGCGCTATAGATCCATAATTTGGCAGCTTGAACTAAGCCCCTCAACCCTTAAAGGATCCGGATCCATTAAAGATCCCTTAAAGGAACCCTCAAAGGAACCCTGAAAGGATCCCTGTTATGGTAGCTGGAATTAAATCCCTCAACAAGAGCCCAGCATTTCCTGAATTAAATCCCGCAGCCCCTAAACCCTTGTAGAAGCCTTAAAGGAACCCTAAATTATGCTGTGGATCCTCATGAGGGTAACTTAAACTACATCCCTCAACAAGAGCCCCATACCCCTTAATTAGGGAATATATCTTAAGTCGTAATATGAAGCCCTATATAAGTTAAGCCATATTAATTACGGGGTATTGGGTTCTCTGGGTCGAGCCCAGCATTTCCGAGGTGGCCGAACCCCCGAGACGCCGGCCACCGCGGAGGTGAATGCCGGGATGTAAGGTTTCGGACTGACTTTAGAGCTTGGGTTTAGGGTTTCGGGCTTATGTGGTTTAGGGACTTTAGAGCTTAGGGTCTAGGGTTTTAGGGTTTATGTGGTTTAGGGACTTGAGGATTTAGAGTTTAGGGGCATTAGGGTTTGAGGTTTAGGGGCTTGAGGGTTTGGAATTTAGGGTTTTAGGGGTTAGGGGTTTAAAGTTTAGGGTTTTGGGGTTTGGGGTTTAGGGACTTGGGGACCGACTGATCTGCCCAGAGACTCCAATATCCCTTAATTAAGGAATATACCTTAAATTCTAATAGGACCCCTACATGATGTAAGGAATATTCCTTACTAAATTGAGGCATGTTGGAGTCTCTGGGTGGAAGTCCACGGGTTGCCGAGCATGGCTTTCGTATTGGCCAAGGTGGTTCAGGGCTCCTTCAGGGTTCCTTTAATAGGTTAAAGGGCTCCTTTAAAGGGTTCTATAAGGTATCTACAATAGGGTTCTGTAATTTGTGGGCCGTAATAATTAGAGTAGGGTTTCGGGGATCAGCTAGTACTGGTGGCGGAGTGGGTAGCCTTGAGCCTGCTGTCAAAGAAACACTTTCAAGAAAGGCTAGCCTGTTTGTGCCGGGGAAACAGGGAAGTAGGGTGCAGTAGCACTTCAGTACTGAATGCAGGTACAGTAGTACAAGTAGTAGCAATCACCGAAATACCCAGAGATCCCAACACTCCTTAATTAGGGGATATACCCTTAAACCATAGGGGGCTTGATATTATCATTCAAGGTATATTCCTTAATTAAGGGGTAGCAACTCCAAAGGCAGACCTCACATCTGCACAGTCTGTCTGTTTATTTCGTAAAGAAGGGGGAAGGGATTATGGAGACTATTAGTGGGGATTATATAGGGACTACTAGGGTACAAGCCAGAAAGTTGGAATATGGTTATCCTAACCCTTCTATGGTAAATTATAGGGTATCCTACCATGACACCATATTCCAACTTTCTGGAGTTCCCTGTATAGGGATCCATTCCCCCGTTCACTACGAAGCACAGGCCAGGAGTGCTTGGAGGATCATGGGACGTAGTAAGTGGGGTTATAAGTACCTTAGTAAAGGTTATAAGTAGATATAACTATAGGTTGCCTTACTTATAACCCTACTTACTAAGTCTCCTGATCCGTTACTAGGATGCCCAGTAGTACCCTTATTCCCTTTTTGTAGTCCTAGGTTCCTTATAAAGTTACCCAGTACCAAAAAGAGAGGCCTTTTTATTCTTAGGTTACTGGGTATCCTAGTTTCAGTGGGCAGCACCGCGGCCGAAGAGATCATACGCGCGGATGTTCTCAGCCCGGGGAGGTGGATGTTCTCGAAGAATCCGTGGAGCAAACATGGAGGGAGCTTAATCCAGGAGACCCCCCAACTGCGCTTTAGTAGAGCCCTTATGGTCCTCAATAGTGGGTAGTTGATGTATGTTAGAGGGTAGTTGGGGGCTCTAGGATAAGCCGCACTCTGAAACATACCGGCACACTCGCAAGACCACGCTGCATGCCATTTTCTCCAACAACATCAATTGGTTTGCGACGTCGCGCCACGCTCCTGACGACGGCCCTTCTGGCCAAGCCACCACTTCGATGTCGACTTGTTGGCCAGGTTTTCATCGGTTGCTCTCCTCCAGTGTCTCCGTGGCACCCCCGGCACCCCAACCCTAGCCGCCCCTCCCCCCTTACCCTCCCAAAGGCAAAAACACACTAAAACGCAAACGAACCAAACCCCCAAACCCTAAACCCTAAACAGAAGAAGCCAGGAGCCCGTTAGCCCTCCATCAGCGCCTCCAGAGCAGAGTGCCGCGGGAGACGAGGCGGATTAAGAGCTAAGGATTCATAAAACCCTAAATCCCAGAGACTCCAATATCCCTTCATTAAGGAATATACCTTAAATTCTAATTGGATCCCTAACATGATTTAGGGAATATTCCTTCATTAAGGCATATTGGAGTCTCTGGGATCCTAAACCCTAAACTCTACATTATCGCCCTAAGCCGGGCCTTCGGGCTTTGGCCGTTGCTGGACACACGTGGTTTGAGTAAGCCGGAGGTTTTTCCTACTGGTTCCAATGATCGGGTTTTTGTGCTGCGCTCCTACATGGGGGCGATGGACCGGCGCTACCAGTCATTGCTTACCCGAGCCGAGAGCTCGGAGACAGCCGGGCAGGGATTGGGGTGGCAGCACCAGCAGGCCACCGGCGTGTGGCGGGCTTTGGCTACTTCAAAAGAGGTCGAGCTGCGGCCATATTTCGAGGAATCGGAGGATTCCCTGAGTTTGAAGGGCCTGGTGGCAGCACTTCGTCTCGGACGAATTGCAAGCGAGCTGCAACCTCCACGTAAGCCGGGTCCTGGCAGAGTTGAACATAGTCTGCGAGAAGCAGCCCAAAAGCCCCAAGTGAACACAGACTTACAAGGCCAAATTTGCAGTCTATGCGTCTCTATACCTGGCACAACCATGCCATCATCTCAAGCCCTTTGGCTCGACGTTCCTCCCACTTGGAATCCATCGTGGCATAGGGCATGTATGGATTCGGCCTTGGATGGAGGCTCGTCCCTCTAGGCTTCGGTCATGGTAATTCCAGTACCTACGTTAGCCCCTAATACTCCTGAACCCTAAACCCTACAGCTGCTTCAGAATTAGGAAGCTGTCTGAGGCCCAAGTTTATCCAGTGTTGGCATAAGGACCCTTTGCGTTTGGAAGAGGGTGCTCGCTGCTCAGGAGCACTGGCCATCTACCCAGTTACCTTCTGTGCTGGTTATGTTGTGCCGGGAGAGAGCTCTGGATAAACTCGAGGCGTATCGACAGTTGTACTTATAGTACAATCCTCGACTCAAATCGAGGTAGGTCGAGCTTCTGCTGCAGATCTTGCAGTACAAGTTTGGCTTAGCTGCTTAGGAGTTTAATTCGTTTCAAGGTTCCTTTAAAGGGTCTGATTCAAGATCTATAAGGGTTCCTTACTATAGGTTTAGGATGGGTTAGAGAGGAGGTACCTGTAAAGGGGATCTATAAGGGTTCCGTATAGGGATCTACAATAGGGGTTTAGGGGTTTCGGGGATTAGAGGTTTAAGGGTTTAGGGTTTAGGGTTGAAGAGGTGTAGGGTTTGGGATTCAGCGGTCCCTTTTCGGTCTGTATTTTCGAGTTGCGAGATTATCTTGCGGCTTTTAATGTGGATGTTGACACATTATGCGTGGTTTTTGCACTGGAGTATTCGTTGGATGTGAGGGAATGTCGGGACTTTCAGTGCGTTTTCGCAGCTTCATGCCATGTGTGAAACTAAATTACTAAATCCTGCACCAATTGAGTCGGATCTCTGAAAGCAGCGCTTGAAGGAATCCGTAAAGGAACCCTCGCAGGGGCCCTCCTCCCCTGCTAAGAGGATCATGGGACTTCGTAAGTCGGGTTTTTCAGTAGATAGAACTATTAGTTACCTTATAACCTTCCATTTCTACGTCCGTTGATCCTTTCAACTCCGTTATCCCGAAACCTTCTTGAACCGCAAGCCCGATCAGGAACCCTTCTAGAACCCTGTAACGAAGCCCTTAAGGGATGTACAGGGGTTTCCTTCAAGAGTTTCCCTTAACAGTCCCTTAAAGGAAGCCTTCATAGGACCCCCTTACAGGAGCCCGAGAAAGGAAAGCTGTAAACGGAGCCCTGGACCCTAACCCTAAACCCTAACCCTAAAGTCCTAAACGCCTAGACCCTGAACCCTTAGCCCTAAACCCTAGACCCTCTAAGGAACCCAAACCCCGAAACCCCAAAACCCTAAACCCTCTCAAGGAACCCTAAACCCTTAAACGGATCCCTAAAAGCAGCCCTCTCATCCCAAAGCCCTGAACCCTAAACCTTCATCTCTAAACCCCAAACCCTAAACCCCAAACCTCTAAAGGAGCCCTTAAAGGAGCCCTAAACCCTAACCCCTAAGCCCTGAACCCTTAGCCCTAAACCCCTCAACCCTAAAGCCTCTAAGGAACCCCAACCCCTAAACCCTAAACCATAAACCCTAAACCCCTGAAAGGATCCTTCAAAAGAGCCCTCCTATCCCAAACCCCTAAACCCCAAAAACCCTCATCCCTAAACCCCAAAA